AGGAAAGAATATGCTTTTTGAATACAATAACTAATATACTTTTTGAAACGAATATCTACATCCAGATACGAACCCAAATTTTTTACATTTTCAACAAAGGACGATTCTTCACCTTGAACTTGTATTTTCATAACAGATTCGATGTATTGTTTGTTTTTACCAAAAATCATGATATTTGATTTCATTGCATTGATTCTTAAGGAATGCAGTGTCGATAGCTTTACTATCCGATCTAGGTCTTCTATTATTGCCTGTCGCGCCAATAGCCAATCATCAGGAAAGAATGAGTGATATAGCTGTGTGTCATCAGCATAAAAGTGAGATTTACAAGTCTTTATACTCGATAAAAAGTTATTAGTGTATATACTGAACAACAATGGGCCTAGTATAGATCCCTTGGGAACACCACAAGTCACATTTTCCCTCCCAGACTGTCCGACAGTTGTTTCCACGAATTGGCACCTATTTTGTATATAGTTAGCCATGAGTTGGACTGCATTGGCCAAAAAACCTACAAAATGAAGGATGGAAAGCAAAACCTGGTGGTTGATGGTATCAAACGCCTTATCTAAAATATCAGCACTGTTGTTTTACCCGCATCTGTAGCCCTTAAGATCTCATCAACAATATTAACTAAAGCTGTCGTACAATTGAATCCCGGTCGGAACCCTGATTGAACAGACGGTAATATGGAATATTTTTCAAGATGAAGTCTTATCTGATTGTTCATGATTTTCTCGATAACTTTCGACATACATGGTAATATACTAATTGGTCTGAGATCATTGTAACTCAGTACCTCACTTCCATACATCGGGAAATATATTTTCTAGCAAACAAGTGTTCACAATATTTGTCAAAACAGGTAGAATTGTCGGACAACAAAGTAATATCACTCTTGGATGTGTGTACAGACCCCCATCATCCTGCCAACATTCCGAATTGATACTCATTGATACAATTGATAGAATCAGCCATCCTCAAACAACCTGGTCCTGTTTGGAGATTTCAACTATCCATCACTTAAATGGGCACTGAATGAAATTCCTGAATCACGTGACACCAGCTCCATATTTGTTGAAACAAATAAAAAATCTCGTAATACTACTATTAAGCAAAAACGAATTGATCACAAAAAGCTGACTATACCACATTGAACTCACTAAGCTGGGAGCCACTTTTCGTTTGCCCAGATGTAGATACCAAGTGGGAGTTTTTGTCTCATTCACTTCTCAATGCGATGGAATGCTATTCATTGGAAATCGATAAAACAGGAAACAGCAAAAAACTTTGGATTAATGATGCATTCAACCGTTCCTATAGGAAAAGAAGACTCTGGTCGAGGTACAAAGTGACAAAAGACCATAACGATTTCGAAGCACACCGCTTATTTTCCGAGGACCTCTCTCGAGATTTGAGAAATGCTAAGCGAATATATGAATCCGACCTCGCAGGAAAAGGAACGAAAGCCATTTACGAATAAACCAGAAGTAAACTTGCCTCAAAGATGTATATTCCTATAATACGTGATTTCAATGGAATTCTATGCGACTCTAATGAAGTTGCTGCTGAAATACTTGCTAGAAACTTTGATAGATCTTTCTCCCCATTGGACACCTCGGCCCTACCTGCGATTGCTTCGCCACGATGTCCAAACTCGCTGAGTCACATTATATTTACTGTGGAAACTGTAGATGAGAAGCTCAAGAATATCAAGGAAGGGATATCACCTGGGCCAGATAATATACCAGCCTTCATACTGAAGAGATATGCATTAATCATCGCAGTACCTCTTAGTCACATTTTCGAATCCTCCTTTCACTCTGCTTGCCTCCCTTTTGCCTGGCGACTTGAGTCTGTTATCTCCATTTATAAAAAAGGAGATAAACTTGACCCTGGTAACTACAGACCAATAGGTCTAGTATCCTTGTGTGCTAAAATCATGGAACGAATAATTGTAGATGTCCTACTACCTTTTCTGCTCGAGAACGACGTGATTCCACCCACCCAACATGGCTTCATACCAGGAAGATCAACAACAACTAACTTGCTCTATTGCTTGGATAAATGGACCAAATCAATGGACTCCGCATCACCCATTGATATTATATTCCTCGACTTCTCCAAAGCCTTCGACAAGGTACCACGGAATAAGCTTTTGCACAAACTTGAACATTTTGGTGTCAGAGGAAAACTCCATAACTGGATAGCTGCATTTCTCTCTGACAGGGTTTTCAGAGTGAGAGTAGGTACCAGTCACTCTAGTACTCATGATGTTACGTCTGGAGTACCCCAGGGATCGGTCTTGGGTCCAACATTATTTTTGGCGTACGCATCAGATTCACATACCATGCATTTTTCGCAGACGACAGCAAATTTTTCGGCAACCCACTATCCAGTTTCGATGAACTACAATCTGATCTGTTATCAGTAAAAAGCTGGTGCGGCATGTGGGACATTCCTCTGAATATCGACAAGTGCTCTATTCTACATGTTGGCTCCACTAACCCAGAACTAGACTACTACCTAGGTAATAAAATCATTTTTGCAGTGGAGAACCATAACGACCTAGGAGTCATTTTCAACAAGAAACTAACTGTGTCCAATCAAGTAGCAGCAGCTGTTCGTAAGGCAAACAGTCGCACATACCTCCTTAACGAATGCTTTGACCAACCTGAACCAAGCCTCTTCAATAATCTTTATAAAGCATATGTTCGCCCACACCTTGAATATGCGGTGCAGATATGGAATCCTCATCTGGTGAAAGACATTCAACTTCTGGAAAGAGCCCTACGCAATGCAACACGAATGGTTAGAAGTTTCAGTGATCTTTCCTATAAACAACGGCTATCTCGGCTAAGGCTTCCTTTGCTGAGTGATAGACGAGCTAGAGGAGACGCTATTCTGACGTATAGAATTCTGCACGATGACTTCTCTGTTGACCTATCCAACTTATTCCATCTACAGAATGATGATAGATTGAAAAGTCATACTATGAAGTTGAAGCAAGAACATTTTCGAACCACACTCAGACAAAAATTTTTGTCAAATCGAGTATTTTCAAAGTGGAATGCATTACTTCGTGATGTGATGTGTGTCAGCTCTCAGTGTGAATAGTTTCAAAAACCGCTACGACTTGGTGCAATTGCAATTGCAATTTCAACAATTACAGTGATAACTAAATTAGGTATTAATAGTGTATCATTAGAAATGTATTGGACTTGACACATTAATAGTTGTAACTAATTTTAAGCTTAAGTATCTATTGGGCTAAATAGGCTATGTTTCTGCCCTTGTTATAATATAATAATAATAATAATAAATAATTATACCATTTCTAAATTAATTGAGTCAGGACCTGAAGCTAATGACTTCACTTCTGATAAAGATTCATGAACTTCTTCCATGGTGACAGTTTTAAATTCGAGGAGTTTCTTAAAAAGACATTTCTTATTCTGATTATAGTGATTCAATAGGTTTTGACCAGGTTCGGACTTATTCAGTGAGGGCTGTAGGAAGTGATGGTTTATTTTGGATGGATTATCTAGACATATTGGTATGGAAGTAGGAGCTTTTCTGTTGTAGATATTCAGATTTTGTAATCTTTTCCACATTACTTTACTATCATTATTGTTTCTAGCACAAAATTCTAAATAACTTCTTTTCTCATTCCTAATGGCAATATTCACTTGATTCCTGAGCTGTTTATAATAGTTCCAATGGTCTGGATTTTTTGTTTTTTTGTATCTGCGATATGATTTTTCCCTGAGTTCTATCATCATTCCAACGATATCTGTAATCCAAGGGGGTTTCTGGTTTTTAATATGTATTGTTCTCAATGGTGCCAATACATCAAATATGTTTATAATTAATTGATTAACGTGATCTACCTCACTGTTGATGTCTTGAATATAGTAGAGGCCGGCGTACCTCAGTGCTTCAATGCTTCAATATCGATTCACGTCGAGGTATCGATCGTGGGTTCGAGACCCACGAACGCAGACTTTTTCTGATGGCCTTAGAAAGTGTTTGGGATCACACGTTAAAAGGTAAGGCCCCCGTCATTCCTTGCTCGCACAAGACTTTCGAAGACTTCTGAGGGTTGCTCGTAAGGGGGCAACCGAATGACGGATAGAACAATTTTAGAACAATTTTAGTGAACGTTTTCAAAAGGCGCATTATGTAGGTATTGCTCTGAAAGGGTTCTATCTACATTGTTTCATATTCCTTATAGTAACAAATTTTTTAGTTTCTTGAACATCCTTTCCACTCAACTTGCAAGTTGTGAGGCAGTGATCAGAGATATTCGATGCATCCCTCGTATCCCAGATGATATTATGTTCATCCTTCGAAAGCAATATTATATCAAGTAAGCTACTAGTTGATTGAGTAATTCTGGAGGGGGAGTCAATGACTTGCTGTAGGTTAAACGATTCTATAATATCCAATGAAGCTACAGTATTTTGGCTATTCATATCTAAACAATTTATATTGATGTCACCTCCACATATGAATCGGTCGCTTGATATTGTCAATTCTGATAGTGAATCCTCAAATGTATTGAAAAAATCATATAGATTACCTTTAGGTGGTCGATAAATTGTTCCCACTGCGTATATCTGATTGTTGCATCTGAATTGTACCCACAGTTGTCCCATGTATTCATATGACATATATTCAAGAATATCAAATTTTAAATAATTTTTTACATACATTCCTACCCCTAGAACCCCTGTCTCGACGAATGAATGTATAACCGTTGATATTCTATAGGTCACTCGTTATATTTTCTGATAGCCAAGTTTCTGTAACTCCTATTATATCAAATTTATCATGTAACAATAGTGTTTTGAATGCTGCAAAGTGTCCAAATAATGACCTAGTATTTAGAAAAGCCACATATATATTTCTAATTTTTCCACTCACAATACTATACTTTTTATTTCTTATCGATTCGAGTTAATACAATGATTAAAAAATAATATAATATGTATGCCCGGCTATTCAAATAATTTCGTGATGCTCTCTTCTGATTTCAATGCAAATCTCTTTCCATTAAACATAGTATACAGGTTCCCGTCAGTCGTCCAGACTTTGTCCCTTCCCAACTTGTCTTTGGCATAAATCAACAAATCATGTCTACTCTTGATCAGATCTTCAGCAACTATCATATTACTCCCTTTGAAATTTTTCTTCGCAGAATATACTGCATTCCTTTGTTGAGTACTTGCGAATTTTATGATAACAGGCCGTTGTTTGGAACCAGGGTTTCGTTCACCAATACGGTAACATTGTATTATGGTTGGATTAATTTTCAATTTTGATGAGAATATTTTTTCCAATGTAGATTTCAAGTTCTCATCATGTGATTCTGGTAGGCCATAGAAACGTAATTGGTCCAACCTCATTTTTTGTTCCAAGTCTTCAACTCTCCTAGAGAACTCCTCTTTCTCCCCCTGTATGTCGGAAATTTTCGTTTCCATGACATCAATTCTTGCCGTGAGATTCTCTATTTGTTTGTTATATTCTTCAGCAACCTTTTTTGCAATAGAGTCCATAAAAACCTTATCATTCATAAACTCGAACAATATTTCTTTTGTAATTTCTTTTGTCAGACTCTTAAATTCACTTTTTTGTCGTTCAGTAAATCCCATATTTATTTGTTCAATTCGAGATTCAATTGCACCCACAAATTCAATTTTCTAACAATATATGGATTACTCACTGTGTGTTGGTTCGATGCTACGAGAGTCCTTTCGAAAAACTGTACTTTGTAAGGAACCCGAAGAAAATCGCTTACTTTTAGCCAGAGTTTAGCGATTTATAAGCCGGAACAACAGTTTATACGTCTACTCACTACGAACGATCATGAGCATAGGACTGAATTTCTTGAGGAAAAGAAGAAGAAGAAGAATTGACCACTGTCTTGTCAGTGTCAGCCGTCGCCGTCAGCCGTCAGTCAATAATAATAATCAGCAATTTGACAAATGAGAATATTGAAAATCATTAAATGAATAATTGAACTATTTGGAACTGAAAAGAATGACAACAGAAAAAGAAATATGAAATATGCAATCACAAAATCCGTTTATTCGCAAATACCAAGTTCTGGATTCTTTACACAGGTCGGGTGAGTATCGGTATGCAAAACAACAGAAATGAAATGAATTTATGAACAGGATGAATAACAATGGTGAAAAATATACAAACTTACATGTGTAACACGAAATCACTATACAATAATACTTTACACTGGTTTTGAATGAACTATGAGAGCACTAAGAGATCAGCAAGAGAATCAAGAGCTTGGAGAGCAGGTCGAGCAGGTAGTGCAGACTTGTAGAGAAGAGTAGAGAGCGACCTCCGAATCCTGGGCTGTCTCCAGTATTTATGCACTACTTTGGCCTTGACACAAGGACAAGTAAATCTGGAATCTCATTGGTCAAAACTCCCACCTTGTCATGGCTCATGGCCATGGCCACTAAATCTGTCCTTGAAAAGCACATGTGCACCTCCAACACAAAACGCGGAAAAAATGATATTCAACCCTGAATGGGCACAGGAACAGGATCTACTACCTCTGCTTATGCTACTGAATGAATTTGGCTGGAAAATATTCAATAACAACAAAGTTATGAGCAGTCAAACATTCATCATTTCAACTGATAAATAATTCAATCAAATTTCATATCATAAGCAAAGGGTTGAAGAATATTGAAGTCTTCAGGGTTGTCATGATGTTCATCAGAGTTTACTATCAGGAAAAGCTTTGGAAAGTCAGGAATCCATGCATTACTTAGTTCTTTCAGGTTTCCAGGTTTTCAGGTTTTGAGCTTTTGAACACTTCAAGTAGAATCAGTCTCAGGTTACTTAGATATTAATCAAAACCAGTCTAGTAATGAAGCTGGTCAAAAACACTTTATTACAGTCTTTTGAGAATCCTTCGCTTCCAGAGAGGGAATCCAGAATGACTTTAGAATTAAAAGTCTACTTAGTGACCTCGAAACCTCCCATTTTCTGAACACGGCTCACTTCATGTATCATCTCGAGTGCTTTCTTTTCTGTGTCTGTAGAGTCGAGGTAATCGTCGACATTATGTTATCTCACGATTGTTTCAATGATTCTTCCTGACTTTGCACATCCTTGAGCATAAAATTTTTTAATAAATTGAGCACATTTCGGTGAACAAGTTGCGCCAAAAATCATGACTTGCATTTCGTAGACATCAATTGGCTGATTTGAATCTCATCTCTCTACAAGAACCGTTGTGAACTTCGATCTTCCTTCCTTATCCTAACTTGATGAAACATCTCCCTAACGTCGCTACTGAAGGCTATCTTTCTTTCTCGAAATTTTAGTAAAATTATCACCAAAGATTGAAATAAGTCTGGGCCAACTAGCAAATTATCATTCAAGCTGGTTCCGTTCGATTTCGAAGCTGCATCGAAGACAAATCTCAGCTTATCTGGCTCACTTGGGTTTATTACACCAAAATATGGCAAATACCAACACCTAGGATTATTTGTGTCAATTTCTTTTGGTTCCAATTCTGTTGCGTATCTCTTCTCGACGTATTTCTTGATGTATTCACAATACCTTTGTTTGAAATTTGAGTCTTTTTCCATCTGCTTCTCCACGCATAACAATCGACGAAAAGCGGTCGTTTTACTGATGGGTAACTGGATGTGGTCATTCTTCCAAAGAAGTCCTATCTCATATATATCTTCCTCCTATTTGTCTTGCCGTCCGTTGCATAACTTCCATGGCTCTGTTCTCGGCTTTGTTCAACATCGTCTTTGTGGTCGGTGATACTCCAAAAGATTCTGTGGAAAATGAGTTTTCAACGATCTGGTGGAGGTTATCGTCGATTGAACTCTCTTGATCATGACAAATATGGAAGGTGAATTGTTCTTTTGGCTGTCTCTGTACCTATGCTACTGCCATGTAATATCCATCCAAGGTTTGTCTTAGTCGCAATTGGTAGATGTTCAGGTCCTTGAACTACCTGTCTCGCAACGCTCAGACGGATATTATCTTGTCCAATAGGTAACAATGGTCGTACAGTTAAATCTCCGATAGAAAGTCCGTCAAGGTATTTGTATTTTCCCCAATCTGAAGAGATTATTTTTTGAAATGGCAGTGGAAGATATTTGTCAGTACGGACATTTTTCATCGAATGTACATTTGCTTTGTCAAAGTCACTTTGAATGTTTACAGTCATACAGAGTGAATTTTTATGCCGATGTACGAAATGCCGTTGGTCCACTGCATACAGAGCGGCTCCTGTCTCCCGGTCAGAGTCAGATAGTCAGCAACAGACGAGTCTAATAATGTAACGGTCGAAGCTTCAGCGAGAAGGGTTACAACTTTGATGAAAGACGAAACTGGACCATATATTCGTACATTCACCATTCTCAAAAGAACATTCTTGGCACCATTACCTTATGTCAGTACATTCTCGTTCTCTATACCATTTGGAGATGAAGTATTTGCTGAATCTCCGTCAGTTTCTGGTTTCGGAATTTCTTCGTGCAAAAATTTATGATGTGGTAGTTTACATTTATTTACACCGCAAACTTGGCGGTCTCTGCATTTTTTCGTCTGGTGACTCCGGTAAAGACAAGAAAACATAACTTTTTCCTGGTAATTCCGCTCCATCTATCATTGACATCGTCTGATTGCAATTTCTTACGATTTTCTATATTATGGCCTTCTTTGGAACAGTATATGCACGTAGTTTGCATGGGGATGGTCGACGTCGTGAAGGATTTTCCGAATCTTCTGGGAGGAAAGTTACTACTTCTTGATACTTTGGAGTTGAGAGTGCTGACAAAGCATAACTCAGAGGCGATTTCTGAAAGCCAAACCGAGAAATCTTGTAGGTGGACATCTCTTGTGCATCACCAATTCTCCCCATCGAAATTTCAGAGTGTCCGGTAGCTTTTGGCAGAGTTCTTTCAATACTTGAGGATTCTGGAGATGAGCATGATATTCTAGGGAAGTTATTGTCGACACAAGGCAGGAAACATGATTGGAAAACTGAATTATTCCCTCCAGGTCATGTTCTTTGATGTGAGTCAGTCCTCTTACCCGAGATCTCATTTCGAGTGTCTTGAGTACTAAGTCGAGGTTGTTAGGAGACATCATCATGCCAGCCACTGCAAACTTCGCATCTCCTCCCAGGCACTTATGCAATTTAATCATGCATTCTTCTGGAGAAAAATCACAATACGACGAAATTTTCTTGAATTGATATAAGGATGTCATCCATTCTTCTGGTTTTCCATGGAACATAGAGAAATCTTTTTCGGCTACGTGACACGAACACATTTTTCCTTGTCTGGGAGAAACTGCTGTTTCCAACACATTTCCAAGGGATTCGCACAGAATTATGATGTCTGAGTTATCTTGTTCAAGTTTCTTCGAAATAGTTCTCATATTTTCAGGTATACTGCCATTGGAATATTAAGGAATAGTCTCTATCCAATCCGTCACGAATGACTTGGGATTATAATGTGTGGATGGACCTTGATCATCGTCTATCACATCGGCTTCTGGATACAAAGGGTCCTTCCGCATCAAGCATTGATTGCTATGTTTAGTTGAACTTGATTTTAGAGATCGCCTCTCCTCATTTTCATTGATTTCAGCTTCTCTTACTTGTCTCTCCATTTCGATTATTTTCAGTTTCTCTTTCATCATTTCGGTTTCAATAAATTGTTTTGCTTTTTCTGCTTCAAAAGCCAACTTTTTCTTCTGTAATTCTGCACTGGCAAAAGAGTATCTTGATTTAGAAGACCTATCTGATTGCTTTGAACAAAATTCTGCATTATGTTGAACTGGAGCCCGTCGATTTGATGAGTGATCTGGTCGGACTGTCGTTTCATCAATAACCCCAAGATCATTGACTACAGAATGATGAATTTCTCCATTTTCCTCTGCAACCCCTGGTAGAATATGAGTCCTCCTTCCAAAATTCGAGGGCCATTCAAATTCTTCATCAAGATGTCTATTGGTACCTACTGTTTTTCGACATAATCTGTCAGATGATTGATTTTCCATAATCTGTGGATTTTCACGTAGTTTCTCCGATATTTCACGCCACAGGACTTGTCTAGAGGCTTGAAGGACCGATGTCGATTCAGTCGGTCAGAAATATAGCTTTTCTAGATATTTCAATGAACTGTATGACTTTTCAAAATTATTTATTATCTGACAATACATATTGATTCCGCTTCCAAGATAACTATAGAATGTTATAAAAATAAAATCATTATAAACAACACTCATGTAGTGAAATTCATATAAATTTGTATCAATTATAATTCTGAATCGAGATTTTTTCTTCAATGATTTTTCTAATTACCTACTAACAAGATATATAAGTCTCAATTGAAATCAATTCGCATTGCAAGATATGATATAATGAAGTTACTCCTGATGAATCAAACACAAGTAATCAAAATCATATTGCTATCATACTCCACATACGGAGAAAAATTTCATTCCATTCCATATGCTGGCGGATGAGCAATTATTAAATTCCATCTAGATCAAAGTCAAGCGCCTGGTGGGTGATGCCAGACTCACTACCTCTTTGACTCCGTTAGAAGACCGAAAAAAATTCGGTGGCCTTTTTTTTCCTGAAGATACTTCCATGGGAAATGTCCCTCGGAAACCATTCCTATATTTCCATCACTAGCAATACCAGTCGTCAGGCCCAGACAGCACATCTTTTCGTCGTCTACCTTGAGATCTGTCGAGCAAAACTCTTCCGAAACTTGTTCGTATATGGAACGGCGAAACCTTGAAATTCCTTGCCAATGGAAACTCACGATGGTCGATGGTTTGAAATCGAGTACCTATCGAAAAATAATATATTTCCATTATTCCAGATTTTTCGAGATTTTTTCTCCTCGTTTCTATAAAATGAAATTATGGATATCATTTCAATATACGTGTCGTATATACGTGTAGTATATACGTGTAGTATATACGTGTAGTATATACGTGTAGTATATACGTGTAGTATATACGTGTAGTATATACGTGTAGTATATACGTCTAGTATATACGTGTAGTATATACGTGTAGTATATACGTGTAGTATATACGTGTAGTATATACGTGTAGTATATACATGTATGTACCACCTCCTCGATTAACCAACAGACAGTAATTAATATATTTTCACTCAAAATACCGCACGAAATATCTTCACCCGGAAATTCATTCGAGACCGCTAATATATTTAAGATTCGTGCTCTAGAGGAAATTTACGGTTTTTGATTGAAATTATAATAGTATTCGGTAAGTAAATTCCACAGCGGAAAATTATTGAAAATATTCTAGCATAGGATGACCCTAAATAGAAGCTAGTGGTAGCTGAAACTTTTTTCCTCGAATAACTTTCTATTCCACTAAATTTGGTGTGGTGGTAACATATTCTGTTACAAAAACGTGAATCAGTATGCAGTTTTAAAAAAAATTACATCCATAACATTGTTAGGTTATATTAAACAAGATTAACTCACTTCTGTTTCAGGAAATAATGAGAAATTTGTCGATAGTATCTCTATTTCTTGGTTCTTCACGAAGTTATTCAGATAGAGTTGGATATAAATATATTTTTTTACGCTATAACACGAAATTAGTTTTTTTTTACTGTGTTCGATGAATCAATGAGGTACTTTTTATGTCATCAATGTCTTTTCCGTATCTGATATCACATAAACTTAATTTGATTCCTATTTCACAAACTCTGATGTCTAATGTCAAATTTCCAGCAATGACAGCTTTGTCTAATAGATGAGCATTATTGAGACAATCACATGACTATAACATTGCTACAAGCCTAAGAAATAAAAAATTTCGCTGTTATCTGTTTTACCGGCAGTAAAATTATATGTATAACTTCCACGGAATGCTAATTTATCACTCGTATGATTGTCGAATTGAATACTAAAATCTATCTGTTCCAGGAGATTTCTCAGTGATGGAAAGTGTGGACGAACATGAATGTATTCACTACTTTAGAGAGCATTGAATTCAGCACTGTATAGAAACCCTTTGTGTAGTAATACATACGTGAACTCAGTTTTCCGTGGAGATTCAAAGAATTGAATAATATATGAGGTATCTCATTTGAAAAAATTACTGTCGTTATTATAACTCAGACATGGATCACCTTATAATTTTTGTTGTAGTGACAAAAAAGCCTAGGGGAGATTCATTCCAACAAAATATGGAGAAAGTTCAAATGAACATGGGGCTGAAAATGTTTCGTTTTCCGAGATATAGGGTAATCAAGTTTGGAAAAAAGAGAGTTTTTCACTTGGTTTTTCATAAATATCTTTGGAAAAATATTTCTCACAAATTCAACGATCGTTTAAATACATTTTAGAGGGGTTATGGAATTGTATGTTACCTTTGGTTTCATTAATAATATTGTGCAATACATTTTTGGATAATGTCTCAGAATTTTTATTTCTCCTCACGAAGTTCAGTGATATATGGTATATATGGTCCGTTTTTCTCGAAAACGAAGAAAGGATACGAGAAGATTTAGCAAGAGTTAGAAATGTTGTACTTCTAGCAGATATGTCTGAATATTCAATAAGAACTCGAAGAAAACAGTACAGAATGACTTTTTTCTCTACAAAAGAAGCCGACTTGCTATGTGTGAATGAAAAATGAGAATTTCATTCGAGTCAGCTTGAATGTTAACAAAAAAATAATACAAATCTATTTTTTTTCGCAACTTTGAGCACTCTATATCCCGGAAACGAAGCATTTTCGGGCCCACCTTCATATGAGCTATTTTTTATATCTTGTTGAGACGAATCTCCCCTAGGCTTTTTTAACCACAACTCTCAAATACCCTGCATGAATATCGCGAATTGAAAATGAAAATCGACCTGTTTCAGGAGATTGCTCACAAATGAAGAATTTGGCTAAAATGAACGTATTCAGTAGGTACTTCACGGAAGCACTGTATACATTTTTCAAAAACAGTCTGTTACTCTGGAATGACGAATCGATATTCGTTCTTCACCATCGACCTTGTCCTGACACTCACAAACCGTATTTAGTATTAAGAAATGACTTTCTCTTCATATATACAGTATGATGAGTTCAATTACTTTCGGAAGGTCAGATCTCTTTCAGATTCGAAACCATCCACAGAAAGAAGTTATTAATTATCTGTAAATTCGAATATTATCCACCCCATAATATCTCCAGACAACATAAACTGATCCACTTCACCTGACAGACTAGTGGAATACTAACTTTTCATACTATACAGATATTTTGGCCATCCTTCAATATCGGTCTCGATGAACTCTCTTGAAATCTAGAACAAATAAACAGAAACAATTCAATGATGAACATTTTTCACCACCACAAAATCTGAATTTCACACTACTGCAAATTATGAAAGAACGTGAAGATTAGTTTCACATTGTTGGTAGAGATTGACGTAGCCATTGAACTATGGTTTCATTGTTCGTTGTTCATGATATATCATCAGAAACATACACCAACATCACACCAAAAGGGATTATTCTAGGTTCTAAACAATTGAGTATCTAATATTATAATATTCAATAATACTCAATTCGTTGTTCCTCTTGCGGAATGGCAATAATTCATGGAGTACAAATGATTTAGGCACATGAGCCCTATCAGCAGCTTGGCAAAATAACATCGTGTTCGCTGTATGAGCATGCTGGCACCTAGTGAATAATAGAGGCAGTGTTACTTTTCTAATTACAAGTTGATTTCGTCAGAATCATACTTCGACCTTATTCGTTAAATGCATTAACGCTGCTTGAGAAAAAGACATCTGAGCGACAACATACAATTTGAAAATTCTGAGGATTGAAGAATTACTTTGTTTCAACATAATTCAACTTCATATACAAGATTCCTGGAAAATCTGATCAATTTCCAGGTACCAGGTAGATAGGTAGGTAGGGTTACCCGAATCGGAGGAAATTGAACTGAAACCCTTCAGTTAATTTATTGAGTGATGATAGGTACTGAATATAAGTAGGTTCTTAGATACTTTTGAATAGGGCTCAGATTTCTACAGTGTCATTGAATGTCTAAAATTTATGAAATTCGTCGATTCAAACTCCAACTTGTCAGTCGGAACAATCTATTAATAATCAGATGATGAAGTAATTTTCATTATATCAAATAATGCTAAGAAATAGGTGAGTACCTACATCAAACATTGATTTCTGAAATAGTTTTTCTTCTAATTGCAGTCTGACGATACCTTCGCAATCATCGCATCATTCACTGCAGTATGCTTCGGAATGTATCATGAGTATCAGGTAAATTCAAATGTTCGGTAAATCTATCAAAAGAGGAAAAGCAATTTGTAGGGATTATATGAACCTCATGGATTGATAACTGAATATTTGGTTGATTCTGTTCACGTATCAGAGATGATAATCGTGGATTCCTTCGCTAATTTCAATCAATTTTGGAAGATTTGTTGAGCTAGTTTTTGAATGTGGAAAGTTAATGCATCCTCAGTACGAGGCTATGAGTGGAAGAGCACCTGATTGAATCCTTCGAGAATTTTGTAACAATTTTGATTAACTCCAAAATATCTGAGGAAACTTCGGAATTGAATCATGAGTCAATATCTTGATGATCCACAATTTTTTCTATAATGTTCACTTACCTACTCTATAAACACCGGTATATCATAATATATGATATTCAGTCTCATATGTTATGTTGTGTACCTAAGTTGTCATGTTCTCACTAAATGGGCAGGCAATATTTTTGTGAAATATCTTGAGAATCAGGATTCCTTTCTCTTCCATAAATCTGTGCAAAATATTTCCGAAATATTCTTCAATCTATCAATTGATCAATTGAAATTTGGGAATGGATACTATTATTGAAGAAGAAAAAAAGGGATTCAGTTATATTTTATGTAACAATGTTTTTTGCCAAGTCTAAATCACTTCATCTCCTTCAAGAAGAAATTGGAAGTATGATGTGATGCTTTATGTCACCGACTCTCTTGTTAGAATTGAAAATTTAAGGACATGAGACACTAATTGCATGTTGAGAGTTATTCTCATAGCGCGTTTATGTTTAATGAATATTTTCAAATTATCCTTCTGTTCCAGAAGAAAGCTGCTGAAGAAATAAGAACTATTATTGGAAAGGAACCAAAACCTATCACGATGGAAGACATTTATAAACTGAAATATTTGGATATGTGCATAAAAGATATCATGCGATTATTCACCATTGCTCCCTACATTCTGAGAAGAAATTCAGAAGACTTCCAACTTGGTAAAATGTTTTTTCTTCGAAGTTATGATGTGTATGAAATTCGTCAGAATACATGAGATGGATACGGGTCACATCTAATGAAGAATCAGATATCAAGTGTGGATATTATGGCTAGAATTTCCAAATGATAGTAGGAGTTACTATCATATTTAACCCTCCATAATTGTCGGGGGACATCATTGTGTTGTTATGATATTTCATGCAAGTATAAAAATGAATGAAAAAAAAGGTCATAGAAAAGAGATCAGTAGCTACTCAGAGTCAGTCCATTGGTGCCATAACAAATTTACTGTAGAACTATCAATATCGCAACTAGTTACAGACATATACTTCTTTCACCGCTAATACCTTGGACGATGCTCTGTCAGGTTACAAGCAATACCTATTTCATAAAATAAGTTCAGAATAGAGATCAGAAAGTATCGATACTGGTGGGTATCGATACTTTAATATCAAACTCACCAAAATAACTCAACCAACAAAATATCTGATAATTTTTGACACAGGCTGAAGAATAACTAGATATCAAGAATCGACAAAGATTAAACTAGTAAACAAAACTATACAAAACCACAAAATCAGATCATAGCTGGAGAGCTCGTGAACCTTTTATATAAAGGTTTGTCTGTAAGGCTAAAAATTTGTATAGTGATGGATCAAAGGGTATTAAGTGAGAAAACCATGACCTGGCAGGCATCACCCTTGCAAATACACTTGGCGCTGTGAACTTGAAACTTCATTATGGTGTTATTTAGATATTGTAGAATGGAGAAAAAGATTGACATGCGATTTTGATGAGCAGAAGTAGGTGCCAGGCGAGTCCAAAAGTGAGGGAAATATATTTTGCTGACCAAAATTGAAGTTTGCTGACCGGACATTTTCGTTCATATTCAATAATGAAGTATTTGACTGAACAACTAGATGCTACTTGTAAAATAATTCCAGTTCACCCCCTCAGAAGAGTAGTTTACTCTAGCGGTTTTTCAAAAATGTTTGCTGAGCGAGCATTTCTGGTTCGAAGTTTTATTTCAAAATACATATTTGAAAATCTCATATGATTATCTAGTTGCCATTCGATGAATAATCTTGATCTACCCCTCAAGAGGGGTAGTTTTTTCAAAAATCCTTGATGACCGAGCATTTCTGGTTCGTATTTTTGCTTCAAATTACATGATTCATGATTTTTCACCGATATATAGTTGCCACCAAGGCAATAATTTTGATCCACCCCTCAAGAGAGGTAGTTTAATCCTGCTGTTTTTCGAAAATTCTTGCTGACAGAGCATTTCCGGTCCGAATTTTCGATTCAAAATGCATATTTGAACATCTCATATAGACATCTAGTTGTCACCGATAGAATAAATTCGATCCACTTAATCAGAGGGGTAGTTTATTGCTATTTCTCAAAATTCCTTGCTGACCGAATATATTTCTAAAACGAATTTTTGCTCAATTGCATATTTGAACATCTAACAATAAACTATCTCTTTCAAGGGTGGATTGAGATCACACTTATTTTCACTGTTTGCACTGAATGTCTCTATAAGATGATCAAATAGGCAATTTGAAAGAAAAAATCGTACCAGAAATGCTCGGTCAGCTAAGATTTTTGGAAAACATCAAGAATAAACTACCCCTCTTAGGGGGTGGAATGAAATTATTGCCTTGGTGGCAACTGGACATCCATATAAGATCTTCAAATATGTAATTTGGAACAAAAATTCGAACCAGAAATGCTCGGTCAACAAAGATTTTCGAAAAACATCAAGGATAAACTAACCCTCTCAAGGGGTGGATTGAAATTATTGCCTTGGTGGTAACTAGATATTTATATAAGATCTCCAAATATGTAATTTGAAACAAAAATTCAAACCAGAAATGCTTGGTCAACAAAGATTTTTGAAAAACATCAAGGATAAACTACCCCTCTGAAGGACTGGATCAAGATTCCTAACCGAATGGCAACTAGGTAATCATATGAAATGTTCAAATATGTAATATGAAACAAAACTTCTAACCAGAAATGCTCGCTCAGCAAGGATTTATGAAAAATCGCTAGAATAAACTACCCTTCTGAGGGGTGATTTGGAATTATTTTATCAGTAACAATAATGTATCCATTGATATAACTTTATTATCAAAAATCAATCGAAATATCCGGTCAGCAAGCTCTAATTTTGGTCAGCAAATTATATTTCCTCCACTTTTGGACTCGCCTGGCACCCTCTTCTACTCATCAAAATCGCCTGTCAATTTTTTCTCCATTCTACAATATCTAGATAACATCATGATGAAATTACAATTTCACAGCGCCAAGTTTATTTTTTTTAATTTTCACATTTTGAAAAAAATATAGGAGATGGTGACGTGCAAGGGTGAGGCCTGCCAGGTCATGGTTTTCTCACTTAACACCCATTGATCCATCACAATAAAAATTTCCAGCCTTACAGACAAACCGTTATATAAAAGGTTCACGAGCTCTTAGACTATCAGCTATCAGCTCTTGGTGTGCCTGTCAGTAATTTGTGTAGTGGTGATAGGCTTTAAGCATTATGCGATGTTGCAAGATATCATCTGCAACATTTCTAGAAAATTGATCAGTTTCATGTTTGCTGAAAAGTGGCTGAAGAGTTACGATTATCATTTTGCAATAGGTATAACGAAAGTGAAAAATCATAGGTACCTATAATACGAAATATCATGAAAATTTATCTTTATCAATCAACTCTTTCCAGCAAATGAAAGATTCATGAAAATTATTCATGATACTCGACAAGGTAGGATCATGCAACCTTTAATATCCCATTGTTGTTATCATACATATAGTTATAATGTACCTACCTATTCAAAGAATAATTTCCGGGAATCTTGACATATTGATGATTCCGGCAACGTTGCACTGACACAAGAAATTATATTTCAATCAACTCTGTGTGAATGTGGCTTTCCACAAAGTACCTCATGAGGAAGATTAAGGAGCCAATAGGTTTCTTTTTAATTAATTCTTTCCTGAGGTGGAATATGATCATACGAAAAGAAGCAAAAATATATTGATGATAAATTTTAACAAACTTCACAGAGAGAGGATAATTTTAATATTCGAATAATTATACCAAATGTTGAATTTCGTGCGAAATTATTCATTGAAATTCTTCGTAGCAGAGCGCTTTCGACTATACCGTCTTCATCAGTGCTTACTTGTGAGTAAGTAATCAGCTTTTAGCCATTGAAATACATCAGAATAATTGAAAATAAGATTCATTTTGAGAAGATATGAGTTATATGAAATTTTTGTTGAACTCAAATTTAGAGATGAATTGAAGTTAATTAACTCGAATCTATTGAAAAACTGAAAACAGAAAACTGAAAAAATATTAAATATGAACTAGAAAATTAGTGGAAGTCAGGTAACTCGTCAGGTTGACAAGCAAATTATCCATAAAAATATTTTTGGTTCTGCTCATTGTTATTAACATTATGGCTAGATTTGGTACAAGTCAACAAGTGAGTACACACACAGTACACACACACTACTGTTGACTTGTGGCAATTACGATTATCCAGATAACTGAGTGAGTTGTTGGATAGGTTCTCATTAGACCAGCATAACTGCTCCTTGGGGATTTGGTTTTCTATTCATCAATTGAGTCATTTTCGATTTTTCATATTGTTTACAATCACGGAATTTTTTTCCAAAAATAAAGATTTTTTTGACAACTCCTCTGACATATGTCATGCCTCGTATATCATATCAGATGTCAACCTCATATTTGCTTTCATTATTCTGTTACTTCCTGTCACTTATCAAGTTCACTCCAACAAGACTGCATGCCGCAGCCATGACAGCTGCTCAGATAATGTGATCTGCATATTATTTCAATTTGGGAAACAAATTTCGATCTGTTTGTAATAGTGTAATCGCTAGGATACTTGAATTTGAAATATGGATGATCGAATATCAGTCAGGTTGGCCGAGCGGTCTAAGGCGCCAGATTTAAGCTCTGGTTCCCGAAAGGGAGCGTGGGTTCGAACCCCACACCTGACATATTTTTGCTTTTTTACACTAATGAACGATTGTCTTCATAGTTTGTGACATAAAACATCACACGTATAATCAAATAATTGATTCCTCTTCTGATTCAGATAGTTTTAGAGGACCTAACACGATATGGCACAATATTGCACAATGTTGCACAATAGTGCCCATTGCCCAATGTGGCACAATATTGCACATCATTTTGCAATATGGTGCAATCGCTAGGATACTTGGATTTGGAATATGGATGATCGAATATCAGTCAGGTTGGCCGAGCGGTCTAAGGCGCCAGATTTAAGCTCTGGTTCTCGAGAGGGAGCGTGGGTTCGAACCCCACACCTGGCATATTTTTGCTTTTTTACACTAATGATCAATTGTCTTCATAGTATGTGACATAAAACATCATACGTATAATTAAATAATTGATTCCACTTCTGATTCAGATAGTTTTAGAGGACCTAACCCGATATGGCACAATATTGCACAATGTTGCCCATTGCCCAATGTGGCACAATATTGCACATTATTTTGCAATATGGTGCAATCTCTAGGATACTTGAATTTGGAATATGAATGATCGAATATCAGTCAGGTTGGCCGAGCGGTCTAAGGCGCCAGATTTAAGCTCTGGTTCTCGAAAGGGAGCGTGGGTTCGAACCCCACACCTGACATATTTTTGCTTTTTTACACTAATAATCGATTGTCTTCATAGTATGTGACATAAAGCATCACACGTATGATCAAATGATTGATTCCACTTCTGATTCAGATAGTTTTAGAGGACCTAACACGATATGGCACAATATTGCACGATGGTGCACAATAGTACCCATTGCCCTATGTGGCACAATATTGCACATTATTTTGCAATATGGTGCAATCGCTAGGATACTTGAATTTGGAATATGGATGATCGAATATCAGTCAGGTTGGCCGAGCGGTCTAAGGCGCCAGATTTAAGCTCTGGTTCTCGAAAGGGAGCGTGGGTTCGAACCCCACACCTGACATATTTTTGCTTTTTTACACTAATAATCGATTGTCTTCATAGTATGTGACATATAAAGCATCACACGTATAATCAAATAATTGATTCCTCTTCTGATTCAGATAGTTTTAGAGGACCTAACACGATATGGCACAATATTGCACAATGTTGCACAATAGTACCCATTGCCCTATGTGGCACAATATTGCACATTATTTTGCAATATGGTGCAATCGCTAGGATACTTGAATTTGGAATATGAAGGATCGAATATTAGTCAGGTTGGCCGAGCGGTCTGAGACGCCAGATTTAAGCTCTGGTTCTCGAAAGGGAGCGTGGGTTCGAACCCCACCCCTGACATAATTTTGCTTTTTTACACTAATAATCGATTGTCTTCATAATATGTGACATAAAGCATCACACGTATAATCAACTGATTGGTTCCACTTCTGATTCAGATAGTTTTAGAGGACCTAACACGATATGACACAATATTGCACAATGTTGCACAATAGTGCCCATTGCCCAATGTGGCACAATATTGCACATTATTTTGCATTATGGTGCAATCGCTAGGGTACTTGAATTTGGAATATGGATGATCGAATATCAGTCAGGTTGGCCAAGCGGTCTAAGGCGCCAGATTTAAGCTCTGGTTCTCGAAAGGGAGCGTGGGTTCGAACCCCACACCTGACATATTTTTGCTTTTTTACACTAATAATTGATTGTCCTCATAGTATGTGACATAAAGCATCACACGTATGATCAAATGATTGATTCCACTTCTGATCCATATAGTTTTAGAGGACCTAACACGATATGGTAGAATATTGCACAATGTTGCACAATAGTGCCCATTGCCCAATGTGGCACAATATTGCACATTATCTTGCAATATGGTGCAATCGCTAGGATACTTGAATTTGGAATATGGATGATCGAATATCAGTCAGGTTGGCCGAGCGGTCTAAGGCGCCAGATTTAAGCTCTGGTTCTCGAAAGGGAGCGTGGGTTCGAACCCCACACCTGACATATTTTTGCTTTCTCAAACCAAAAATCGATTGTCTCCATAGTATGTGATATAAAGCATCACACGTATGATCAAATAATTGATTCCACTTCTGATTCAGATAGTTTTAGAGGACTTAACACGATATGGCACAATATTGCACAATGTTGCACAATAGTGCCCATTGCCCAATGTGGCACAATATTGCACATTATTTGGCAATATGGTGCAATTGCTAGGATACGTGAATTTGGAATATGGATGATCGAATATCAGTCAGGTTGCCAAAATATATAAAACAATGAGCAGGACCAAAGATATTTTTATGAATGATTTTCTTGTCAAGACGAGTAAGTAACCACACTTTTACTAATTTTCTAGTTCAAATTCGACATTTTTCAGTTTTCTGATGTAATTTCTTCAATAGATTTAACCTGATCAACTCTAATTGATTTTCAAATTTGAGTTCAACAAATCATTTCCATAAATTATATTAGAAAAAAATAATGAAATACTTTTTTTTTTCAAATTGTTCTGATGTCTCTCAATATCTAGAAGTTGATTATTTACTCACAGGTGATTATGACTGTATACTACGGAAACTTATTTCAACTGTAGTTACTAATGCAATAGCAATCATCTACTTATAGAAGTAATCGTATGAATTTGTGTATTGAATATCATGGTTGATAGTGAAATCCTTAATTTTCAGATAAATGGACTCTGCCGAGAGGTGCTGCAATTGTCATACCAATTCACCACTTACACAGAGATCCAACTCATTGGGAGAATCCGGATCATTTCCATCCAAACCATTTTCTTCCAGAAGCTGTACAAAAAAGACACATTTATGCATATTTGCCTTTTAGTTCAGGTCCACGAGGATGCATAGGTATGAATAATGAAACGTTGTACAGTATTCTTGTATCTCGTTCCACTATAACAAATTGAATTTGACAAAAATTGGGAATCATGCAAAAAATCTGCGAATAGAAATATTTCTTAATCATAAATGAATGGATACTTCGCCGGCTGATACCACAGAATATTGAATAATATCTGTCAAATATTGGCAATATCTGATATTGAAGTTATAATGAATGTATAATAACTATTGTTCCACTATCTAACAAGAAACGAATACTTTCATGACTTATAACACAAAATATTAAATTATATCTGTTCAGTTATTATATGGAACATAAGAAACAGTGATTCGAGATCTCATAAATATGATAGATTGACAATGGATCGGAGAATATTCCAGAAATCACAATTCTTCAAAATTTCACTTTGGTTATCAACTGATTCATATTCTATGGAATCCTGCTCAATTTACGATATATCAGAAGAAATAATTTGGTGCATCTTTTGAATATCTTTTATATGCGAGTTGAAATTGTCGATCAACGATTGCCATGTTCCTTCATTACTATTTCGAGAAATTTGCGACGACTATCCACTTCCTGAAATAAATAACTATTCGGGGTATTGGTGATTATCATCAGATCACACCTGAATTTTTCAAATTTTATTATGTCTATTTGCATAAATTGAATAGATAAATATTCAAATACCGTATAATGTGGAATGAACACCTCGAATTAAACGTGAGATATCTTTCCATTATACGAATATTCATTTATTTCAATAATGCATCTGGCCGACAGTTAGATATCATGAATATATTTTTTATACGTGAATAACCGATATAGCTTATAATATTGAAATAATAGTGTTCTATTCCATGACATGACGGCTGCCCTTTGGTAGAAATGCATAATTTGTTGTCATCGTTTTGTATATTTATCATTGTTTCTGTCTCTACTAATGAAAGCGTTCATTATTATTATTACTAGAATTGAGCGAGCTCAACTTTGATCTGCACCCTTATTGCTACCGCGCATGTGCGCTCAAGTTATGTTGCCAGCTCAACATCGCTATTTTTAAATACTCAACATTTTATAATTGCTTTACCATCAGTTAAATATCCTCATCTATGTATTCTCCTTGACCATCTAACAAAATCCTTCGAAACCAAGTTTTTACACTAACAGTCATATGTACATGATATATACAATTCAAATACTCCGACATATTGGATGTCGTTTTCTTCGGATTCATTGTCTTCGCTATTCATAATCCTGTAGCCAATGGGGTTCCTTTGTAGATCGTCTTGGTCTGCTATGGTCCTTTACCCGCCGAAGTTTACTGGAGTTGAATCGTTCCACTGGTTGATGGAAAAGATAGTTCGTCTTTGAAAGGCAGTGGTTCCTGTCTCTGGTGGTGGGCGGAAATCTTCGGGATTCCTGGCTGTCGCTGGAGGAGTCGTTGAGAGTATAAGGAAAACATTGGTCATATCACATGAAGGGCGATGATTAAAATCATCATTAGATATGCTACTGTTAGTATCTGTATCATTAAAGATCGAATGTTCATCTTCACTAGTATTATCAAGACAATCCGGAGATAGATTATCGTTACATTTGTCTCCAATGTTCTCACCCACGCCACCTGGTTTGATTCCGTTGTCACTTGGCATCTTTGATGTATATGACGGCACCTTTGGAGCTTGAAACCCTCCGTCTTTCGGCGATGCTGCATCCACTAATCTGGATAGCCTATTTATGACTATGTCATGGTTAGAGTGCCGTTTACAAATATTTTGCAATTCTTCAATACTGCAAATGTATGAATACATCCCGATCTTCGTTTGTATCGTTGATGCTTTTCATGGCTTTACGTTTTATTTATTTATTTATTTATTTATTTATTTAGGATTTTAGGTTGCATACAGTACAAAGTACCAAAATAGCATCCACATTGTAGCTACGTGGTGAGGCAAGTTATACATCAGTTATATAGTTAGCAAAGGAAATTCGAAGTACATGATGTGAAAGAAGATATAGAAACATTGACAAGTCTTGATTAACAATACAAAAGATATACATAAATCGAGTAAAGATATTATATCGAGTATTATATATTTAGTTATAGGAAACTATGATTGACGATTTCGAGTGAACTGATTTTTGAGGATCATTTTGAATCTATGTAGTGATATTGAGAAAATGTCTATGTTGAGATTATTACAATATCTGTTAAAAAGATTATGCATTCTATTCAGAGAAGAATGCTGTCCTACATTCGTCCTGCTGTACGAAATTGCAAATAAGTCCGTATTTCGGGAGGATCTGTTAGGGATTCTGAAATTGATTTTAGACAAAAGATATGGCGAGTCTATTAAGGAATTCAGTATTTTATGAAACGTACATAGGTCTGTTATAACTCTCCTATCTGATAAGCTCAGTATGTTATGTTTGGATCTGATGATACGGTAGTTGTGATCTTCGATAGTTGTGTGTGTTTTGAATGCGAGGGATCGTAAAAATCTGTTTTGGACACTTTCGATTCGTTTTGTGTAAGTTGTATATTGAGTGTTCCAAATGACTGAGGCAAAAGATATTTTACTATGAACGAAAGCGTAGTATAGTGAGATAAGCGCATTGGGATGATTAAAGTCCTTCGAGTTTCGGTTTATGAAACCAACCATTCTGTTAGCAGAATTTATCGTCCTTTCGATATGTATTTTAAACAACCATTTCTCATCAAGGGTCACTCCCAAGTCTCTTATCTCAGATACACGCTTCAGGTCCGAATTGTTAATTTGATACGTGAAATTTAATTTATTGAGTTTTCTAGTGAACGATATGTTGAAACATTTCGATGCATTCAAAAAGAGTTGGTTCTTGCGACAGTATGTTTCGAGTCTGTCGATGTCCTGTTGTATTTTGAGGCAGTCATCCAAGGTTTCTATTTTGCGGTATATTTTTAAATCGTCCGCATAAAGAAGAATGTTGCAATTTTTGAAGCACAATTTTATGTTATTAATATAAATATTTAAAAATAGTGGACCGAGATGACTGCCTTGAGGGACGCCAGATGTCACCTTGAAGGGGTTTGATTTGTGACCAGAAACCGATACTCTACTTTGCCTGTCAGAAATATAAGATTCAGACCATTTGATAAGTGAGTTGCTCACACCTGCTTCAGAAAGTCTCTCTAGTAATAATAGATGGTCGATTTTGTCGAAGGCTTTACTGAAGTCGGTGTATATAGTGTCAATTCGAGACTTTTTGTCTATTTGCTCAGATACATACTCGGAAAAGCACAAAAGATTGGTTTCTAGCGAGCGTTTTGGAAGGAATCCGTGTTGCTCTTCTATAATGATATTTTTGACACCCGGTAGGATTCGGTTATAGACGATTTTTTCGAGCATTTTACCAAACACACACAACTTGCTAATTGGACGGTAGTTTTTCACATCCTGTTTCTCACCGCTCTTGAAAATTGGAGTGATTTCAGCAATTTTCCACTTTTTTGGAAAAACTCCTTTATTAAGAGATAAACTGAATATGGTACTTAGTGGTTTGCTGAGATTTTCCATGCATCTTCTTATGAACATAGGGGGAATCCCGTCCGGGCCTGCACATTTATTGGTGTTTAATTCCCTAATTATATCAGATATTTGGTCTTGTGTGACAGGATCCGTATGACTATCCCTGTTGTTGGGGCTGATGGTTTTTATAGAGTTTGGTTGTACGAAAACACTACTGAAGTAGTTTGCAAACAAGTTGGAGACATCCGTGCCTCCATTAGCTGTAATATTATCGTATTCGACTGTGTGTGGAATAGAGATATTGTTTTTCCTCTTACTGGCGATGAAATTCCAAAACTTTTTGGAATTATGTTGAATTTCTGATTCCATACTCTCTACGTAATTACTGTAGTCCCTTCTTATCAATCGTTTAGAGTGGGTACGAAGTTCGCAAAATCTGTTGAAGGCATTTTGGTCATTGTATTTTTTGAATTTTTTATGTAGTCTATTTTTTTCTTGGATTATTTTTATGGTTTCGTATTTGAAGTAACTTGGAAAACGACCTTTTATTTTTCGGAAAGGGACAAATTTCTGTATAGCATCATCTATGATATTGTAGAAGACTTCTACGATGATATCAATGTTGTTCCCAACTAATATGTGCTCCCAATCAATTTGTGAAAAGTGTTGATTGATGGAATCGAAATTAGCTTTATTGAAGTTATATATTTGTATATCGGGCGTGGCAAGCGGTTTTGAGCAAGACATCCCCCATAAGAACTCTATGGCATGATGATTGTGGTTTTCTTCAACAAGGCAATCGGATGAACGTTTAACATTCAATATGAGGTTCTTGTTGCAGAAGATTAAATCGAGAATCTTGTTATTTTCATTATGTACATGATTAAATTGCATAAAACAGTTATAAGAAAATGCATCAACAATCTCAGAAAACTTGTTTCCTGTTTGAATGGGTTCGTAAAATACTTCATTATTGATAGGTAACCAACTTACAGAAGAGAGATTGAAGTCTCCGACGATTAGGGCAGCATTCTTCTGTAGGAGGTTTTCGTGTGAAAGAAGTTTACTTGAGAAACAAGTCATGGAATAATTACAATTGGGTGGAATATAAACACAACACACTAAAACATTTTCACTTTTATTCTTCTCGATGGATACCCAGATGTCTTCTGCTTCGGATTCTAGATCTGCACGACGTTTAGATTGATAAGTTGTTTTAACTGCAATCAGAGAACCTCCTCCGTCTTGTTTTTCCGACGCAGAAGATTCGCGGTCCCTGCGGTAAACTGAATAGTTGTTGTTGAAAAGTTCGTTTGAGAGAACACTACTATTGAGCCATGTTTCGGTTAAACAAATGACGTCATAGTCATTTGCTGCTAGGTTATGATAGAATGTATTGGTCTTAGTACGGAGGCCTTGTGTGTTCTGGTAGTATATATGCAAATTTTCCGCCATTGTCTCAAACTATGATGATATTGAAATAATAATAGGTTTGTTGCTTCATAGCTTCTCCAGGATGCTTGTGTTATTCACGTGAATAATACGGGAGGTGTCATCTCTGCGGATAAAAACCATTCCGTTTTTGGTCCACGAATATTTGTATTTATTTTGTTCTGTTTTGCCGCTAGTCTGGCTTCTTTGTACAGAATTTTGTTGTGTAGAGTGAGGTGCTCGTTGATGAAAAAGTTGTCTGATACTCCTTCAATTTCCATTTTTGAAGAGCCATTATCTCTCTTCATTCGTTTTTGTTTCGCGGCAGCGAGAAATTTTTCCTTCTCGTTGCGTGAACCGAACCGGAGAATTATATTTTTAATTTTGTTGGTGGAATTTTTATTCAGTTGAACACGGTGTATATATTCGATTTTATCTGGTGTAGTTTCGAACTCGATGTAATTACATATTTTTTGTACAATGGTGTTCAAGTTTTCATTTGCTTTTTCAGGGATTCCCTGAATTTCAATGTTGTTTAGACGACCTGCCTGGTCTAAATCATTCACTTTGGACTCCAAGTTCGCGATGTCCGTTTTTAATTTAGTGTTTTCTTTCAATAGTTTATCGGTAGCTCGCATCCATTCGTTTATTTTATTTAGTTTTTCTTCAAAGTCAGACACCTTGTCTGAGCAAAAGGAGACAGAGTTAGATAAGACAACTTGCTGTTCGCGGAATGCGCGAAGCTCCTTAGTCATATTATCCATTGCTGCTAAGAGATCCCTGTTACTAACGTTATCTCCAGTGAGAGAATCATCAGAACGAGAGCGAACGTCTTGCTTCTGCTGTTTCGTGGTAAGTGGAGATGCAGTATCCATGGTCGCGGCAGCAGTAAGCGAATATCGGGAGTGTGATTCAGTACTGCGACAATCGTTGCATTTCCAAGTTATTCCGTCTACACGTAGGCTGTCCAGCTGTTTACTGCCGAAGCCGAGACAGTCTCCATGAAAAAACCTCTCGCAAAAACCACTACACTGTATCCCGGGTTTTTTTCTACCCACGTTTTCAGTACAAATACGACACTGTTTACTCATTACTAACACTTATTTAATCAATGTATCAGTCAATCAGATGAAATTCGTTATCACAATAACACTATGACTCGAGGATCACTTTCTCGATATGATGGTATCAAAATTATAATTTTCTTGTAAGTATAGCCTGCTCAAACGGTTACTTTAGCGAGAGCGCGATTAACACGAACCGTCTTTCACGCTCCGGCTTCACAAAACTTGAATATATAGTCTCTTATCATCACTTCTTCCCGAACAATAAATTCCATTTTCACACACGATATTTTTATGGCTTCTGTTGTTTCATTATCGACATTCTCGATATTATTACTCTAGATTGAACCTTGTTTGTAGTTTCCTTCCAAACATTATCTCACGAGGAAGTTTTTGTTGTTGTTGTTGAGTGCTCAGCATTTCCATAGTTCAAAAAAAAACCTGTCAACGTCGCTAGACTCAATTTTTTTTTGTCTTGAGTGACATGAGTAATTGTCTTGAGTGACATGAGTAATTTAACCCCTCTCTGTAACAACTCCCCAATATTCGCTCTATCGATCTTCTGTTGTCACTAACAAACATTTCAGGTAACCCAAATGTGGAAAAGGTTTTCCTCAGTATTTCCTTCAGTTTTAATTGGTTGTATTACTGAATATTTTGGAAGAACATCATCGATAACTAGGAAATTCGTACCATTCTTGTTGTATAACAATTCATATATCGCCTTCAATTCAACTTATTCATAGTGGTGCTCTTCACAATCGATGAACAAACTATGAGAATTGGTTGAGTATCCAATCGTTGATATTCATAAAAATATTGCATGAGATAAAACTCATTAATTCTAAAACATTATATCCAAGTTGGAGAAACATATTTTTTCAACAATTTCAACATCGAATCTATGTTTCCTTATTCGACAATGTCACGAACACGTCAGGAAAAGTTACACTTAAACACTAAATGAAAAAAAAATCACATGCCATACATATGGATCCTATATTTTCTAGGTAAAATGATGGCTAATGTATTGCTCAAAGTGTTCCTAGTCCAACTACTCCAGAAATTCGAGATACAGGCAGAAGGAAAAGTACCAGATATCACACTATGCTGTGACATCAGCGTAAGACCAAGAGAAGGATACATCTGTACTTTGAAAAAAAGAAACTGGAATACTATTGAATGAATTGATTTCTGTGAATATGTTCAATACAAATATCAATGAACTTGTTTTTTATTCCATACCATGAAATAAGAGACTTGCTGAACAGGCATCGAAAACGTAACAATATATAGTTTATTCCAGACAGCAGCGACTGACATCAAGAAATCGACATCCCATCATATACAGGGCTTCAATTTCAAAACTGACCACCCTGCATATCTACTGATCTGCGGTGATTACAATTTTCGGAAGAAATTAAAAGGACAAATCAGATATCGAGGGAGGAGTGAAATACCAGTATCGATTGTATGCTATGTTCATTTCTATCATACCTATAGACACCTCTACTATGGAATTCCAAATAGCACATCAATTCAATGTATAGCAATAACCGAGTCGACCAGGTGGGAAAAAAAAACTATTTTGCCAATACCTATTACAGATATATCATGAGTTCAAATTTTCAAAGAAATAAATTGGGGTTCACATAAAGAATGATAGCAATAATCATTATTCTGTGGGCAAAGTTACAGTCAATTTTCGAATTCATTACGAATATTCCGAAATTCTTCCCCATCATTTCATGTTTTTTGACGGGGTTTGTGAATCATCATTCCCGAGTAACATTACGGAGAATACACAGAAACTGTCGAATCTGAATATCTTGCCGAACATTCTCCATCATCTAACCTACTAATCAGAACATGAGGTGTTGGAGCTCCAGATTACGTAGAATTGAATCGTTAGTTGATTTCATACCCAGTCTCCTGAAGAGAAGGAAATGAGATGATTGGTGAGTTCTTTATTGAACAAGATTTATACAAACAATTGTACTTCTCGATTTATTGGAAAAAGCAATTGATTCCTTCATCACACAGTAGCGCATCTAGGATCCAGTTCTGAGGGGAGAGAAGTAAATGTCTGATAATCAGGTATATAATATATGAATGATATATCAATATGAAGTATCACCTATCTTATATGGGGATCACAAACCTCTTATAAAAATAAAAAACGAATAAAAAAATTAACAACATAAAAAAACGTTTGTTATCAACATGAAAAAACTAGAATGAATAGACGAAATCCGAACAGGAAACTCAAGACATTACAAGAAACGCGTTGGCAAGAGATCACAAAAATCAAAAAATGAGATCTAGTCATCTATATTTTTTCGTTAGCATATCGATTTATGACATTGACATCTACCTGAATATCCCTATGAAAGCCTTTCTTGCAACATAGTTGAGCGTAGACAAGTTTTCAACCGTTCAAGGCGGGAAAAACTCCTATTCGCAGGAGCCTCGCTAACATGCAAGGTGACAAGTATTTGTAGGCATTGTTTTATAGTGGGACAAAATATCTTCATCACCAGATATTAGGAGATCTAAACCATCTTTAACATCATTCTGCATAATGGATTTCCACAACTCAAGCTCAGAATTTAGTTTCATGAAATTATATCACTGCTCATATTTTCATGCAGCCTATTGATATCGTATGAAGTGATTCACTTAGTGTGTCGGGATTTCTTGAACAAAATATTGAATGAAAAAATTTATTAAGTCCCTCTTCATCAAATCTAAAACAAAAATCGTTTGTCATAATATGATCCAGCAAAGGTGTGTACACGTTGAGCTTGAAGTAAGTTTTTTGCCTGTATCTAACTACAATATACTTGTCTTTTTATTATTCTTGTGCAATGAATATCTATCTCCATTATTCCATGAACATCTCAAATTGATTCGAAGACAGATCCAAATTGACGCTGAGCATTGCTTCTTTTTTCTGCCAAAACCGAAATTACATTTTCTAAAAGTTTGCCCGCATATTGTCTCTCAATTAATGTTGTTTGTGACATTCTAATCACATCAACTGTTAGAGCTGAAATTTCAGTCAAGCTTCAAAGAGAAACAATAAATGCCGTGAAAGTGATTCCAGTTTTGAGTGTCTCTGCTTCAGGAGATGAATCGCGATCTCTCCAATTTGAAACGATTCCGAGCAAATCAACAATGCTTACGACGCAACATTCAAATTGTAGCACTGATTCGTGTGTATCTACACATCTAGTACCACGAAGAGTTTGGAGTTGAGTATTTTCTATATAAAAATTTTTTTTTGCGATGGTAATAATTCAGTTACTACATTATTCGCGAACAAGCACAAGCAAATAATATCAAATGAAAACCTATACCCGCTAAACCCCACACCGTCGATGCCGCTACATCCGATAGGACCACTTGCACCACAAGAATCGGGGTTTGACCAAGAATTTGTATAATCTGCTGCTGCTGCAGAGATTTGTTCGTTGTTACATTTGGTACTGAAGCCGTCCCCATTTCTTGTGATCCATTGCTAGTGATCACAATGATCGCATTTGTGTCGTTTTGAATTTTCATCATCATGGGTCTGGGAGTTTTTACTTGTACGCAATTTTGACACCACAAAAAAGGATTTTGCTTCCTTTTGCTCATGAACCAACTATTTTGCATGGCATATAAACTGGAGAAAAACTTATGAACCACTCAGTGACTCTCGCAGTTACCGCCTGCTGGCTTGCCTACAGTGGGTTAAGGAAAAAGAAGTAAACAAGTATGAGTGACGCAATCGCACGTTCAGATGGCCGCTGTTGCGCTGTTAGTCGTAAAAAGGATGTTGCGAGATTGCTATTGCTAATACGAGCGTTGAATAAAGAAAATCTGTAATAACAATAAATCTCGCTCCATCCTTTACCACACTTACCCCGTGTTCTGGGGGGTAATTACCCCCTTCACTCCGTGCCCCTCGAATGCGCGCCTGTCATCACACAATCTTCAAAGAGTAAATCGATGGATGAACATAACTTACATTTCCAGCTAGATGAAGCTCCACTACATGTTGATCTACCGGTGAGAGAATTGTTGAATCAAAGATTTCTCAGGTAGTGGGTTGGCAAAAAAGGAATTTCATGATAGTCTGACGAGCTCTTCAAATTAGACATGCCTTGACTATTGTCTGTGAGATCATTTCAAAAACAATGTTCCATGGAACTCTGCCAGAAAATATCGATTGAACGAAGAATAATTATTTCAGAATGCAGGCAACTAGATCGAATAGCGTTTCGAAAAATCATTGAAGGATTTCAAAATAGGCTGTTCTACTGCATTCAGTAAAATGGAGCACATTTCGAACAAAGTCTCAGAATACCTATGTCAAAACTTGTATTTTTAGGCCTTCCTAACGAAATCTCTCCACTTTCGTTGTTATCCAAGACACATTATTGATCACCTGAACGATTAAGTTGTTGTTTCCACCTGAATCCTATGTATCTCGAAGGTTATAGGCGCCATTTGGAATGATGAAATAACGTTGACTAGGAGTGGAGGAAAAGAACATAGCATTCAGTCGATAATTGTGTTCCACTTTTTCCACGATATTCCAATCGACAATTTTTCAAAAATTCTAATAACCATAGGTTATAAGTTGCTTGAGGTGGTGAGTTCTGAAATGTTAGCCCTGTATAGTACCCAGTTGTAAGATCTATCTAATCATGTAAAAAAGGTCACCGCGTTTGTCAGAGTTAGGAATTCCGAATTAATAACTAGTAGTGCATCTTCTGATACTTGAAAATCTTCTAGAAATATTGGAATGGATCCTCCTGCAAAATTTGATTTTACTGAAAAGATTTGATGTGAAAATGGATGAGTAGAAGATGTTGATGGGTGAGTGTGAAAATAGTGAGACATTCTTGTTGATAATCAAAAAGGTTATCTCTAAAGAAATTTGAAAAATCATTGGCCATATCTTCTTAAGATACGACCCATGGAATGGGTGTCAATAGTATACCGTTAGCATTGGGAAATGGTAATTTCTTTCTCTTTTCATAAAATTACGTTTCACAAAATGGCGCCCAACGTGGGGCTTTGATTGCAATTGAGATTTTCGTAACATAATATTAAATTCGAACAGAGAGTATCAGTGAAGTAAAAGGGAAGTTTTATGAGTTTAACTTTTTTTTTCAGTGCAGTAGCAGTTTACATATTTTGGTAAATATTCAGTTATTCAATTGAATGAAAGTTTTTTCTTTACATGGTCACTAGTAGTCTTTTAATGGTGCTAAAAGAATACTTTTTTTTTTGTTTGTGGTTCAGCTATCTGCTGTTTTTTCCTACCTTTATTGGATTTTCATTGAAATTGAAATAGCAGTACTTGAACCATTAGGTTTTGGTAATTTGGTTGAATTTTGTTGGTCGAATTCAAATCATGATTTTTGAATTTATTTCGATGAGATTTATTCTCTTTTAGGAAGTTCAAGGTGACGATCTTGACTTCAAAATTTTTTTTAGTTCTCAGTAGAGATATATATATATATTTTTTTTGACATCAAATCTGATGGTCAATTTTGGAGATATATTGAAATTGATATTACAAAATAAATAAATATTTTGATGCTAATGACTAGCAAATATTTGAGTTGATAGTCTCAATTTCTTTTTGATACTTGAATCTGATACAGATTTCAATTATTTTAAATTTTGATTATTGAAAACATTTTTTCAATATATTTATGAAGCTCCCACTGTTTTCCAATTATTTTCGGTTTTGATATACAGGGTGATGCCTAGTATACGTACAGGGTAGTGTTGGGCATTTTAGTTCACTTCAGAGATCGCTCAATTTAGTTCGTTCTCCATTGGCGAACTAGTTCACTCTTCTAGTTCATTAGTTCGTTTCGTTCGCCGATCGCCGCGCAGACACGTAACGACCGCAGCGTAGAGATACTACATGCATCGCAGTCGCAGAACGATTCTACTACGAACTACGAACTGCGAACGCTGTGAAATGACAAAAGTGACCGGCCGGGAAGTTGAGCGGTTCGCATTACACGATCCCAATCGCTGAATCGCTTGTTCATTTGATGCAAGTCTCGGTCCTCTCGCTCGACGCTCGCACGCTCGGCAGTGACAGAGAGATGATCGGTCGGTCTGGTCGGTCAACGTTTGCATTTTTCAGTGAACTAACGAACTGAAACCCAGATTGACAACGAACTAGTTCGCGTAGTTCACCTCGGGGAGCGCTCTT